CATTCAGTATTGAGCGTAATGAATACCGTGCAATTTCAAATGCAAAAGAAAGAAATAGAGTTGATGATGGCTCAAAGGTGCATTTCAACAGCATTAAAAAAATCAAAGATTTGAGGAGCGAAAGCACATACGATAATTTTGTTCTGAAGGCTAAGAATAAATGGGAGGAAATGGAATGAAATCAAAAAAATTTTCGACAAAAAAGCTGCTGAATCGCCACTATAAACATACAAAGATTGTTTTTGACTTTACCTATCGGTTCAGCTAGTGCTGAGCGTGTGACGAGCTCTTTGAAAATTATTAAAGAATACCGTCAAGCTTCTTTGGCTGTCTCCAGCTATATCCTCTTTGTCAAAAGATCAGTAGCTAATACACTCAATTTGGATTCTGTGATGGAAGTCTTTGCTGAACGAAAAGCAAGACGCGGATTCAAATTAGAATAAATCTGTTATTCTGTAATGAATAAAATATGTTCGATCCCACAGTCTCTACTTGATTAAGACATATAGTAAAAAGACAGAGGTAACAGTGCGCAGCAGATACTATTGTGCATATAATTGTAAGCCACTGTTAATATGTGACACCCTTATTGCCAGCAAAATCTGTAGTTCGAAATTTATCTGAACAATTTAGATGGATTTTACGTTATCGAAAAATTTTAGATCCGCGTGAATATTGAAACAGTTGATTAAGCTTTTATTGGCACGTTAAAGAGCATCAGATTAACTTTTTGCAACAAATTACTATTAATAAACCTTTTACAGTATCCATGAGTTTGTTTCGGTTACTTGTGCAGGTCTTTCTAATTTTTTTATTCTCAGTTGCCGTCATTGATTTGCAAATAGCGATAAATGTGGAGAATATCACTTTCATAAATAGTGCCCAGTATGCTTCCTTTAGTAATGTATGTTATTTAACGTATTTTAGTGTTGTTCGACAAGTTTGTATTCAACGAAATATTAATCAGGGCAAACATGACAAGAAATATCGATCATACTTGTTTTTTCTTTTTACCTATAATTTGATGCAAATTCTATAAATAGCATGCACTCCAAATTTGACTCGACGCCCTTTACTTATCGGTAGCATCCGTGATAGCTTTTAAACTGTATTATGCACAAGAAGTTTACTGTGGAAACATCAAGTTTAATTTACTTCAAAAAATTACGATGTGCATTACAATCTGTCCCAGAGTTCCCCAAACTTTTTTGTGTCGTAGACCCCTTGCCATGTTTTTCCGTGTTGGGTAGACCCCCTACTTACCTGATATTGATTTCCTGTAAATTTCTAACTGTAGTGAAGTTTAGTGTTAAAAACTTAAACTAAATACACATGTTAATTTACACATTTATTAATTGAATTTAAATTAAAACTACTCAGAATAAAATTTTGTATCTGTTATGTAAAATATACGTAACATTAAATAAACAGGTGTCTAACCAGTAAGTGGCCGCATTGGGAATAAGTGCCCGCATTGAAAAAAAATAAAAGGGATAAAATAAAAAAAAAGTGAAAAATAATAAAAAAAAAAAGTTTTTTACTTAAAATACAATAATTTCACTGTTAGTTTGATTAAATTCCGCTTCTTATACGTTCAAGTTATCTAAAAATAGGCAAAAAATTAACGAATTTTACTGTGTACCTATCCTTGAATTTTCTGAATAATTTAAAAAAAAAATATATTCTACTCTTTAAAAAATCAATGCGGGCACTTATTCCCAATGCGGGCATTTATTGGTCAGACACCAATAAACATAAAATAAACTATAAATAAAATAACATAAGCAATAAGTCAATATTTTTAGTGAGAAGGATGAACCTGTTGCTTTAATAATAAATTATTAACATTTGGCGTTAATTTTGTAAGGGATAATCTTAAATCTCCTCGGCTAATGATGTCCAGTCTGTTTCTTTTTTTCGTTAGGAGATTGGTAACAGCGCTCAACCCCCTCTCCACTAGGTATGACGATGGAAAGGAAATTAAAAATTTCCTCGCTATATTCCATAATACGGGATAAGTATGTTGTTTTGCAGCCAGAATTGCTGATATCCGTTTTTAAACTGAACCTTAAGATCTTCGTTTATACTTAGTTCAGTCAGTTCCTCTTGTATTATGACATTCGTTTCTTCTATGTCACCATATGGACTAATTACCCACGGTGGTATTACCATAGTACAAAATATCCTCAAACCTAGATTCAAAATCTGAATTGAGGGCATTTAAATGTTGAAACGTCGTCTTCCTGGCAGCTTGTCTGTGACAAATTGGGGAACTGAGAAAATTCGCCCCGTCCAATATTTTGCTTCATTAGTTTAACTCTGGCAAGAAACGCTGATAAGATGGACATTGTTTCAAATTTAAACTGTCGCCTTGTAATTGCAAATTAACCATATTAAATTTTGTAAACAAATCTGTTAAATAGGCGATGTCTGTTTTCCTCTTCATTAAATACTCTTTTAAAATTTTATCTTTAGTATCCAGAAATTCTAAAATAGTCTCAAAAAGTGCAAAAAATCTTGTCAAACATAAGCCTTTCGACAGCCAGCGTACTTCAGTGTGAAGGAGTAATTGATGAAAGTGTTCGTCGTTTTCTTCACACAACTGCGCAAATATCCGCGTATTCAACGCGTTGCTTCAGATTCGGTTTACTGCATCAATGACTAAAAGAAGTGATTCATGCAATCTAACACTCAAATTTTTAGCAACTAAGTGTTGTCGATGGATGACGCAATGTATTGCTAACACCCCTGACACATTTTGTTTTAAATAACTTATAAATCCAAGATAACGTCCAACCATGGCAGGTGCTCCATCTGTAGCTACTCATATTATATTTGATAAAGGAATTGCTTTTTCAATGAAGTAATCCTTCAAAACATGAAATATTGATTCACCTTTAGTGTCGGTTATCAAACTACTTGCGAAGAGCAGTTCTTCGTAGATTTCTTGATTCATAATAAAACGAACATATGCCAATAATAATGCTGCATTATCAGGTAAAGTTGACTCGTCCAGTTGTATACAGAAATGGGTCGTTTGCAAATAGTTACATAAGAAGCTTTCAATATCAGAACTCATTTCATCAATACGCCTTTCAACAGTATTGTTGCTTAAGGGAATTATTTTTATGATATCAGTTGCACGTTTGTGTAAAACAGTTTTTAAAACCTCTTCAACGGCTGGCAAAATTAACTTCTCTCCGATAGTATGCGGTTTTCCGGATTTTGCTATAAGTAACGAGATATTGTACGACGCCCGCAAACCATCATCATTTCTTTGTGACGTCGAAGCGAACATTCTGTCCAGTGTAGGTCTCTTCTGAAATTTATCTTTGAGTGTTTGAAAGTATTTCAAATCTTTCTCTGTTTTATCGCGGCATCTTCTCAGATGATCTTGCAGTTTAGATGGTTTCATAGTGTCATTGCCCAAAACTTTGTTGCATAAAAGGTATATAGGCGATTGTTTGTCCGGCAATGATGGAATGAAGCCAAATTTCAAATAATCAACACTGTACTGTCTACATTCCTTTTTAGATTCGGACATGGCATCAGTCATCTGTGGGCAAAATTAAATTATTTAAATAAGACAGAAAATCCAGCAGCTGTATATTAAAAGTATTTTTAGATTTTTCTTCTTGCAACAATTAGCTCGAATTACGGAGATTGCACTGTAACTATATTACCGATTGCTAAAACTTTCAAAAAGAAACTATTGAGGAGTAATTGTGTAATTTTGCATGATTGGATATTTAACTACTAATAACTAAAGTTATGTTGGCGTAATTTATCTATCTTTGCTAACTACGAGTACAAAACTAAAATTTAAAAAAAATAATGCACTTACTTTTCTCCAGCACTCTCAAACAAAATAACACTGACTCACTATAGTTTGTGTGATATACTATCTGTTTATATTTTTTAAAATATTTTCTTAGCACTTTCCTTTTCAAGATTCAGGAAACGAATAAACGTATTTGTCCTACATTCATATTTATAGAGTGACGAATTGAACAAGTCAGTGCAAGGTAGCGAAGCTCTGAGACTGCGACTCTCAGGTTTTTACAAGTTCAAAATGTATTGCGACCACAAGAAGTTTTTTCTACAACAAGCATAGGCAACCAGTCTTGTGCTGTCATCTATGAGCTTACAGTTAAATCAAAGTTAACGGAAATTTGGAACTTTAAGAATTGGTGGTCAAACTAATTTCGCCTAGGGGGGGGGGTCATGACCCCCATGACCCTCCTCCTGGATTCACGCTTGGAAATAGATGTATCAAAGTGATACTGATAGCTTTAGTGGGACCCGCCAAAAACCGAGAGTTAAACCAGACTTGCAAAAAAAATCTAAAATAACTGAACTGTTTCTATTGATTTTATAAGAGCAGTGGCTCTATATATGATGCTTCTGGTCGTCCCGAGTCCCCTTCTTTCCTCCCCGCCCTTCCCCGTCCGCCCTCCTCGTCGCGGAATCTGGTAATAAGTAAATTATTGGAGCAGATGCGCTCGCAGATGGCGACGCCTCTCCGTGATCAATTGATTCCTCTGAGATGAATCGAGAACTATTAAAGACAATTTGAGATTGGGAGACAACGAGTGCACTGAGAATCCGTGCAGCCGTGGGATAAGATTATATTCTCTCTGCTCTTCTCTCGCTGGGGAATGATTTTCGTTTAATACGGTTCTTCAGACTGATTGCACAGCCGACCTATTGTTATTCCGGCTAGGGTTCGGCTTTGGAGCGTTCAAGATTTTTAATTCCAGCCTCTCCAAAACAAGGATTTTAAATTATGCCCGCAGGTGTTGGACCGGTTGAAAATTGTACCAATAGATTGCTGGAATTGGACATACTTTATACAGCGCTTTTCTTTGTTTTTTTTAACCCTTTAGCGCTCTCTGGTAGCTATATATACCATCAGTTATTATGGTTGATATTAGCATGACCGGCCAAGTGATTTTGGTTCCAATGCACACAGACGCTATCCGCAGTGCTCGCTGGTAAATGTGAATACCAGCAGCGCGCGCGATGCGAGCCACGTGCTCCTGTCAACCACGTACGGTAGCATAAGCTACCAACGTTCATTACAGCAAGCATCAAAGCAGAATTTTGCTTTATTTTCTTTATTTTTAATAGATAGAGCTGTGTTTTTGTATAAGTGCAAGAAATAAGTAATAGGTAAGTATTCAGTTAATATATCTACATAAAGGTTTTTGTTGTTATATTTCCTAAAGCACTTAAAACTCCAAGAAAAACATAATATTTGTGGGAGCACAAAAAACATCAATAAATATTTTTATCTATAAAATAATTATCAATATGTTGGTATGTGTGTACTGATCGTTTTACAATAGTAAAATATGTATCAATTGGCTGCTAAAGTAATTTTAGCATTGCATTGAAGCGCTAGGATAATATTTTGTTTTTGTTCTCGATTATGCAGATAATATGCAAAATTGTTGTGATAGTAAGCATTGGTGCTGATAGCCCAATAAAAAAAATTTTTGTTTCTAAACCTATTTCATCAGATTATTACTGCTCTAGTATAATTTGTTTTTTTTATAATACAAAACATAATTTAGCTATTTATACAGGGTGTCACGTATCGTTATGCTGAAATTTTGTAGGTCGAAGACAAATGAAAATAAGACTGCAACTTTGACTTATAATTAAATCTAGTATACCTAGGGCCGCCACAAAATTCGACCATAACGATACGGGACACCATGTATATATATTTTATTTCCAGAATGTCCAATTCACGGCCACTAACTCAAGCGGAGTTAGAAGAAATTGTGGCAAATATAAGCAATCAAGAATACTGTGCTTTTGACTATGGCGGTGATGATGATGCAGAGGATGACTTGCCACCTGAAACCCCAACTTCATCCAGATCATCTTCAGTACGATTGTCTTCAGGTTCACCTGCGGTTCTTCTTGATTCTCAGCCTGGTCCATCGTACACAACTGGCTTGTGAAAAAAATTACTTGCAGAGATTCCGCCACAAAGTATGACTGAGAGCGAAGATGAGGACTACCATGATTCCGATGCAGACCCGGACTTCGATCCAAATGATCCAGATGGTCCACCAAATAAAATTGCCAAGTTTTTTCCTCAGGATAGTGAACTGTCCTCCGAGGATGAAGACGAAAACGAAATATCTTCTGTTGTTCAAAATTAGACCATTATTGGTTCATCTTTCCAATGCATTCCAAACTGCATTTACACCCTATCGACATCTATCAATCGATGAGAGTATGTGCCCCTTCAAAGGACGAACAAGTTTGAAGCAATACCTTCCTATGAAGCCTATAAAACGAGGTTTCAAGATATGGGCGTTGGCATGCTCCAAAACAGGTTATCTTGTAAACTTCCAGATTTACCAAGGCAAGGCTGAGTCATCATCGACTGAAATGTTGGGGGAACGTGTTGTTCTTGAATTGTCAAAAAATTTTCAAAATCGCGGCTATTGCATCTATTTTGACAATTTCTTTACAACGATTGCTCTTATACAGAAATTATTAGACAGAGGCCTATTTGGTTGTGGAACTGTAAGGCAGAACAGAAAGAATTTCCAAAAACACATGTTGTGTACAGATAAGGAATTATCTCAAAACCAATCAGATTCGGTTGCCTCGGGAGAAATATCTGTATACAAATGGAAAGATCGGGGTGTCAAAAGCGTAGCTGTTGCTAGTAATCGACATAACTTCCTAGAAAAAAACAGAAGTTTTACGCACCAACAAAACAGGTCAACGGGATAATGTAACGTGTCCCAAAGCTATCGCGGATTATAACATCCACATGGGAGGCGTTGATCTGTTCGACCAATATCACGAAAATTATTCCACATCATAGAAATCCCGACGGTGGTGGATGAAATTTTTTTATTACTTGCTAGATGCTTCAATAGTAAATAGTTATGTTCTCTACAAGGAAACACTTAAATCAAAAAACCCTAGTGCAAGACCCCTAACAGCTTTACAGTTCCGTAGCGAACTAGCGAACGAACTTATTGGAACATTTACTCAGAGAAAAAAGCCCGGACCTCAAAAAACGGAAACGCAATCGAATATAGGTTCCCATCTTGCAACTAAAGGAACGTATCGCCGCTGTGTACTGTGCAGTTCTTCAAAAACGAAACAAACCCGCTCTAATATAATTTGCAAAACTTGTAACGTTGCATTATGTAAGGACTGTTTTGCACCTTATCATACGAAATAAAAAATATTTAATTTAATATAAGTTTACTTAGAAAATCACTCATGTAGTATTATTTTTAAGAAGGTTGCTAATACAATGACATAATTATAAGTTTATGCAATAAAATTTCACTCATGTAGTTTTATTTTATTAAGATGGTGGCTAGAGCTACCACTGAACTTTATGTGTAGAGTGTTGTTGCTAAAGCACCATGGTAGCTATATCTACCGTTTTTTTCACCACCTTAGGATTTTTCAAAATTTTTTTAACAATTTTTGGTGGTTGCTGTTGTTGCTGATAACTAGTTTTTCAAAAAAATAATTGATTTTCGAAAAAAATAATTTTGCGCCTTAAAGGGTTAAACTTGAGGTAATGAAATTGATGTCTGGATACCATATTTTAGAGTAAAATTGACAGATGAAAATGTCAAGATGGCCTCTATGCGCCATCTTGGAAAAAAATTATATGAAAACGGGGGTCTTGCGGCACATCATTTTGAAGCTCCTGACGAGTACTTTATAACCATAGAATATAAAGTCATTACCTTTACCTACTACAAAATGGTGGTACATTTAATAATTACTTGAACACAAACCTACGAACATGCATATCTCTACAAATAATTGAAGGGGTTAGAATAGAAAGGGTACAAGTGCATTTTTAACATATTTTGAGATAAGTATGGCTCAGAAAAGATAAGGTGTAAATTCATTAGAATAAAAAGGACATAAGTGGTTTTTAATACATTTGGAGCCATCTACGAGCCCCTTCCCACTCCAGTTGGCCCACTTCAAGATTTGTACCAAAATATACCTTTATAAACTAAACATGAAGAAACTATTTACTTCTAAAATAATTTATTTTCTCATAAACATTTTAGATACACTCTAGCCGTAAAAATACAAATTTTAAATCTTTTAGACCTATAACTAATAGAACATCTGAACAAATAAATAATGTGCGAAGTTAACAAAGCAACAATTGAAATATTACCATTGGGTAACATCACCTTTATTTTTTATTACGACTGAAATTCTTTGGCAAAAATTTGGGGTAAAACAATCCCATATTTCTTGAAGCTTTTGTCTCAGTTCGGTGATTGTACGGGCAGGATGTTGTGGTAGAACCTTTTTCATCTCGTGCCACAAAGTTTCAATAGGTGACAGATCTAGGCTGCTAGAAACCCATTTCAAAAGTGATACATTATTTGCTTCCATCGATTTTATAGCCTTTTTTGAGGTATGGCACGCTGCACCATCTTGCTGAAATACAAAATCTTGGCCAGATTTAAAACATTCTCCAATCGCTGGTTAAAGCGATTCTTCTAAAATTGCCAAATATTTGCTTGTATCCACATTTCCATCAATAAAATGAAGCTTTCCTACTCCTTTTGATGACATACTGCCCCAGACCATAATGGATGCTGGAAATCTCACTTTTCTCTTCAGACAGTCAACATGGAATGCTTCATTTTTTTTGCGAATCACTCTACTGCGACTGTCACCAACACAAACTTCGAATCGGGCCAGATCACTCCATTGTATTGCACACCATTGTTGAGGTGTCCATTGTCTATATTCATTAGCCTATCTAAGCCGATTTTTCTTTTGCAGTGGAGTTAATAGTGGCTTTTCTTTGGTCTACGTATATAAACAAGTTGTGCAGCTTTAGGGTTTTTACTTCACTTTTTTTTATAAGAAAACTTACCTTACAACTGCTAAATCCCAGTTTCTGGGCCTCTCTGTGAGTTGTGGACCTCGAAATTGTCCTTCCAACAGCGTCACTCCACAGAGCACTTAATTGTAAATAATTGGCAGGCCTGTTTTTCACGATTATTCTTCTTAATGCTCTTCGGTCGGCATTTGTGATATTACTTTTTTTCACATATCGTGGCTTAATATTAACTGAACCAGTTACGTTATATCTTCTAACAATATTTCTCACACTGTACCACGATAAGTCTAACAAAGTTGCAATTTCTGAGTTTGATTACCCAGAATTAAAAAAATTAATTATCAGTAACCGAGTTTTCTCACTAATAACCTTTTCTCTACCCATTTTGAAAACCTTAACTACCCAAAACTATTTTAAACGTATTCTGACAGCTGTGATTAATAAAAAAAATTGTCATGGCTTTTATTTTTCACAGCCACCTATGCGTTAATGACCTATTTTGCATTTAAATGAAAATAAGTTGATATGCTGTAATTGCAATTTTTATGCTGCAAATTTGATTAGGGAGTGTTAAAGTTGGTGTTTTCTATTATATATTATCAAAATAGTCATTGTTAATATTTTAAACCTATAACACCCTGCTACATTTTTATTATTTGTGTTTGATAAGAAAAAAACTAAGATTTAAATAGTTGAGCCAACTGAAGTGGGAAGGGGCTCGTATTGTCTAGTAGAAAAAGTAGATGAATGAAAGGGCAGTTTTCTTTGGAATAGAAAGGATGCAAATGCACTTGTACCCTTCCTACTCCAACCGAAAGTTTATTTATTTATAATAGTGTATTGATTGTTTCATCGATTTGCGAGCTGTTTTTTCCTAAATAAAGATGAAAAACGACGAAGGTAATCCTCTTTGCTTATTATTTTATATTATAGTTATGATTAATATCAAAATAAGTTAACAACAAGAGGGTGGTTGTTTATTGCTTGTTATATTAAATCTGCATAATATTGTTAATTAGTTACCAGCAATATCGTTTTTAATTATTTTGAATAGTGTCCCAGCAAGTTACAAATTATTGTTCTACTTTCAGATCCTTACTACATGGAAGAAAACGAACAATACGTTCCATCATCCACTTCTTGACTCTGATACTGCTGAAGTAGTTTCAATAGATGAGGCGCTTCATATCACTCCAGACAAAACAAAGAAAAGGCTACCACGTCCTTCTGAATGGAAGATCAACCAAATAAAACGCTCTAGAACTGCAGGTGTACAAAGATAAGTCACTGCCACCCTATCAGCATACATGTCGATACAAATGCAATATAAATGTTTGTGAAGAAAAAAGGCGAGAACTTTTCAAAGCCGTTCTTGATTTACCGTCATATGATCATCAAACCGTTTTTTTATCATCATGTATAAAAAAACAACGTAAATAGGAGAAAATTGAAAGAAAATTTAGCACAAATATATTTTTACTAGAAAAGAGCGTTTGCAAACATTTTTTTCTAAAAACATTTAATATCTCAACTAAAAGACTTACATCTGTATGTGCTAAAACAAATCACCTTGGTATAGCTGAGCCAGACCAAAGAGGCAAAGGACAAACTCACAGGTGGTTGGGAAAGGAGCAACGAACTTTTGCAATAAGTCACATCAAAAGGTTTCCTAGATACACAGCCATTATTCAAGAAAACCAAATTCTCAGACGACATACTTATCCTCATATTAGTATTAAGATTTATACAAAACTATTTGCAAAGACGAGAATCTCTCTTATTATAGATATATTTTCAATAGCGAATTCAACTTCATCATCCACACTTAAACACCTGTTCCAGCTGTGACTCCCATCAAAATACTCGTACTAGAAAGTGTTCGAATGATGATTCTTGCACAGTGAGGTTCAGTTAGCTCTTCATCAGAAATATGCCGAAAATGCCATAAATATGAAGAAAAGCTACATCGAGAAATAAACTGCCAACAGATATAGTAGTGGTGGTGGATTTTCTTTCACTACATGTACCTTCCCTTATTTGAGTAAAGGTAGAGCAGCCAGCAACTTGGAAAAGGTATTTTGCACCGAATTAAATGACGATTCTCTTACCATCAGCACAGAAAAATAATTTGCAGTTCCTCATGGAATACATACCACCGCGGCTTTTATAAGG